TCAAAATATCTTTATGAATTACTTGAGTGAGATATAATGAAGTAAGCGATGCAGGACATGAGAGGAGGAAGGAAAATATAAGAAAGAATAGATATATGATAAGAGAAGAGGGAAGAGGCATAAGAGATAAACTTAGAGGAAAGCAAATGATTATCAATTTTTTATTCATTTAAAAGATGTCTAAAGAAAATATACATTAAAGCACTATTTATAGGCTTTAACCTAATTCTAAAAAGAAATTAAAAACATAATATTCTATAAATCCTAATAATTAAAATAAAAATATTCTAAAATAATTTAAAAGATAACCTAGTAATATGAAAGATTACATTTATTTAAATCACAATTTTAAAATCATTCTAATAAAATAAAAATCTCAAATATAATTAATTTCGTATCCTATCAATAAGGATAAAATTGAATATATATATATATATATATATGTATATAACCTACCAAATGTCCTATATATATTTAATTTGGACCAAACCAAACTTCTAAAAATACCTTATATTGTGGTCCATTAGAGTATTTTATAAAAAATAACAAATATAAAATTCAAAAGATATAAATAAATAAATCTATAGCTATTGGCTCATTGCATATTATGATATAGTGTAAATGTATGTGTGTGTGTCGAATTCTATCATTTTATATCTTTTTGTAATAATAAACGATACTGCTTAATACATTTAATATTGGTGATTTGGTGTACTAGATACACTCATATTGACTGTCTCCAAGTATAATGTAAGATATCCATCGAAACGAGTATTAAATGTATTGACATTTGTTGAAGAAAAACATTTTTTTTTAAAAGAAAAAGGTTTACTTCAGAGTTTGTTACATGTAAAAATTTTATTAAAAAAGTGGGTTTTGTCTTCATTAGGTGTAGTTGGTTAAGGGAGAGAACTACAGAGAAATTGCTAAGACTGCATAAACTACGATCCACTTACAACATCGCGCGCGCGTGTGTGTGTGTGTTTTTTTTTTGGGGGCGGGGGTTTAGATTGCTGTATCATAATCAGAGCTAACAAATGAAAATTAGTCTAGTTAGTAGTAAGTTGACCTATATTTTATGAGAATGTGGGTTCATTTGAACTTTATTAGTAAATAATCTCTCACTACACTCCAAGTTTTTTCCAAGCTCTGATATTGTTATTGATCCTGGTGGGCTACTAAAATACAACTTAATTACCTAAATTTTTTAAAAGAAATTCACAACTTATTATTTAATTTATTATAGTTAAAGAAAATGACATATTGATATTTTACTTTTACTAGCCAATTTACAAAAATTAATTTAGTTGGTAATGATATGACTTATAACTCATAAGGTAACTAAATTAAATTCTATTACTGATATGAAAACTTTATTAATGAGCAATTTATAACTACCTCTATAATTATTGTTTGAACCTAGAGTTGGAGGCATGTATTGGCATTGATATGACACTGGAATTGATCATCAACTTGCCTACATTTTTAGTTCTATCAAAAATATTTTACTCTTGCTTGGGTCTTGAGCATCTCGCAAACTTTTGAATTTCAAATGAAAGGAGAGAATAAATATTAAATAGGTGATAATAATATAAAAATTTTACATCTTAACTTAAAATTTCAATACTTAAGTTTTTTAATACCCTTTTACTTTATTATATATTGGTTATTAAGTTTAACCTTAAATCTCACGTTAGCTTTTGTTTACTAGCATTTTAACAACTTAATAATTTAGTTTCCACATATATCTACAAATTTGTATATGTTTTAAAATATTAATTTGCATTATTTCCAAGTCAAAAGCTATATTATTTATGAATCATATCATTCATTTCTTAAATATTGTGAAAATGTTAGTTTTGAAATTTGAAACACGTATTTTATATATATATATATATATATATATTCATCTGTTTATGTCCCTCTCTTAACCTAATTATTTGGTGGTTTCTACTTGTAGACTTGACAATGTAGAGAGTACTATCAAATCACTTAGATCACGTTTACTTATTAAAATATAATGAAATGAAATAGCTTAAAAAAATTAAGATAAAAATGTACTCAATTACCTTTCTCTCTATAGTAAATATGATAAAACTTATTGATAAGTATAATAAAATTCATTAATATATATTATAAATATGAAAATCATCATACTTTTAAAAAATTTCATGAATCATGATTCTCAACTTCATGAATTAAATTACCACTCTTCCTTATAAATGTATTCACCTATCCTCTTTGATTATCTCATTTTTATTTTAATTTTTAATCCATTCTATTTCAGTAAACAAATGTCACTTTAGGCTTAGTTTAGATAGAAGGAAAAGTAGAAAGAAAATCAGGAGGAGAGATAACTAGAAAAAAAGCATAAATATATATATATATATATATATTACTATTTTTAGGATTTTTTTTCTTTAGTTTTCCTTCCTTTTATTTTTTTTTCCCATCTTTGGATGAATGGAAAAGTGAGAAAAAAATAGAGATGAGAGAAATTCAAGAAGAGGGATTTTCAAAACTAATAATTTTTTTACTATTTTTAAAAGTTTTTTCTCTTAATTTTTCTTCCTATCTGTTATCCAAACAAATTAAAGGTTAGAGAAGGGTCTGACTTATTTTTGTGGATTGGATTAGCATGTTATGAATTATAGTGTTGGAATAAGGGAAGCATTGATCATGGCCTGTCCTAATTAATTAAGTTTTAAAATAGGAGAAATTTATAATAATGCAAATTAAATTGTAAAAGGTTCATACATAATTATCCCCACCAATCAAAAAGCAATTATTCAAGGTTCCTACACGCATTATTATCGCTAGCTTTCTTCTCCAATCTCCTCTCTTGGCCACTGCTATATAAAATTAAAGATTAAATAATAGGTTCAAGTGGAGACAATAATTTACGAACCCACAAAATGATTGGTGATGAGCCTGCAGGCCTTGTCTCTGGGACTATTCCTATATACCCAACAACTTAGAATTTTTAGGATTTATTCAAAATGGCGTACATTATTGAAATATAATTAAGAAGATTGTGCATGCAACCATACTTCGTTAGCTTCATAATATTTTACTAAAAAGAAAATAATACATCAACATATGACAACATCAAGTTCATGCACTCCAAATGAATTTGAACTTAAGAAATGTAGGTGTGGAAAATTCAACATATAATTTATATTAAATTCCGTTCAAACATGGGCCAATCTAATTAAAGAGTTCATTATTTTGGCTACTGCTCCAATAAGAAAAGGGTGTAACATACTCTATTGATCAAATTAATTATTTAAATCTATATATAAAAAATTGTATAATCCCCTTGACTATATATTTAGGCTTTGCTATTGGTTAGTTTCACAAAACCTTATATTTAAACTCAAAATATTATTTGGTTTTGTATATTTTATGTGGTTGGCTGTTAATGATTCTCAATTGAAGACTAAAAAAATGAAGCACTAAAGCTTTCAAAATTGTGAGCATGCAAACAAGCAATGCAGACAAAAGGTACTCTATCCAATTTCATTCTTCTATTGTTTTTACTAGAATTAAAAGAAACCTTAAATTTTATTAATTCTATCTAAAACTTTAACTAGTTTTCAACTTTATCCCTATTTAATATATGTACTTTAAAAATAAAATAATATAACATTTTAACAACATTCTCAACATTTAATATGGGTAATAGAGTAAAGATGGACAAAATAATTATTGAGATAACCTATAAATAGAACCAAAATAAATACTCTCTTTATCTTATAAATAGAATGAGAAGAGGTTAATATTAAGAGAGATGTGTGGCTTTTTCTATTTAATTTATTTGAAACTTTTTTCTTTTATAATATAGTAGGAACTGTTTTTTAACACTTACACCAACTAGTATGATCTGATTGATCGAACTACCACCCGAATATAAAAGCGACGTTAACCTATTTTGGGGATTGACCTATTTGGGACAATTTAGAACCGGACGTTTGTTTATAGAATCGGAACTTGAAATGGTTGGATCTTTTTGAAATGACTTTTTTCTTTTTATTCCTTTTTTAAGTCATACATTATTTTATTCGATTTAAATATATTAATATCAATTTCTTTCTTGGTTGTTATAGTAAAATTTTCAATGTAAGATTTGTGTATTGGTATTACATGAATTAAACTGTTAAAAAATGAAAATATACTTACTTTAAGAGGACAAATAAGAAAAATAAAAAAATGGACATATAAAGAAAATAGGAAATTAAAACTTAATACCGCATGTTATAGCTGAACATCTTTGTACTGGAAATAATATTATCGGTATTCTTAATATTTTATTTATATAAAATTATATAAATATTATTTTTTATTTAATTATTATATTATCGATTTAATAGTTCGATGTAATAAGTTAAACCATGAAAATAACATGGATAAGGATTGATATATCATAAAGTTAGCTAGTTCGAGAAAGCTGTGTCTGTGAGATAGAACGACGCCCACCGCTTTGGAAGCCTACCCAATTAATGTTCACAACAATCACAACATCTCACCATTCATAAAAGAGATTTTAAAAAATGTGATTCCGAATAAAAGCTGCAACCTTGTGGCACAGTTTATTCTTTGCCTTATTTTTAGCAGGAAATTCAAATGAAGTACACAAGGACGACATGTTTATAACTAATGGATTTGGCCACAAAAAAAAATGGTATATTATACTCTATTTTTTATTTTTTTAATTTCATCCAAATTATATAAAAAATTATTTATCCTCAAAATTAATATATATAACTATTCGTTTTAATTTTCCCAAAATAATCAAATTCTCATATATTCTGCATAAATATAATATGTGTAATTTAAACGTAAGTGTCATTCATGAATATAAGTTTGAGGAGTTTGGAAGCGAAATTACATTAAGGCTAAATATCTCTCTCTTCATTTAAAAAGTTCATGACTCACCATTCAGATTTTCATGTGACAAAGACTTCTGGCGTAACTATGTTGGTAGCCGACTCATAATAAAACTAATCTTAAATTGTGTGTGTGTGTGTGTGTGTGTGGTGTGTGTGTGTGAACTAGAGAAATTTATGACAAACATTGATCAGTTGGAGGAAATGAAAATAAAAGATGATGTTACTAAAAATAAAAGATGAAACAACCGCTCTCCCAAAACAAATACAAAACAGATTATTGGGTCTTTTTTAGCATATATAAATGCTAAAATTAAGAGGAGATGATGTAATAATTAAAAAATGTAAGGGGGTAAGAAGGAACGAGTTAAGTTTGAGACTTTGAGATATGCCACTATATTTTATATATATATATATATATATATATAAATTAGTTCGTCTACAACTAGAAAAATATGACCCATGAGATTAGGATGTGTACATGTAGACCACATTTTCCCGATTTATTCAATACTCGTTTTTTTTTTTTTTTGGCCTTTAATGATCTCTATTTAACCATGCAGATATTTCAAGACTGCAAAGGATTTAAATTTCTAATTGTAGGATTTCGAATCATCAAAGGCACCATGTCTTCAAGCAGCCCTTGTGATCCCTTGCTAATCTCATGGACTTGGGCCTGATCAGATTCTAGTGCGATTGGACCTTCATGGGCTTGGTCCGGGGAAGGGTGCTATTGGTCTTGGCCTTTTTTGTTGGAGGTGAAAGGGATTCATGGGCCTGGGTCATCAACAAACATGGATAAGCAAAGTGAAGATGAAGCCCTTCATAGGTTATCATAAGAGTGTCTGGGTCATCATTGCATCTTTCCACTTGCTTCTTGGCATTACACCTTGGATTAGTGCACCTATAGTAGCTCCTGTATGTCGGGACAAAATTGGATTAATATGCATAATCCTTTTTATTTTTATTATAAAACGCTTTCAACTATTTCACTGAAATAAAGGAACGACGGTTAACTCATTAAATATGTCTTAAATTAAAATTTTTTTCTAACTTTGCCTCTATTAATATATAATGAACCATAAAATTAAATTTACAATAAAAGTAAAATTGAAAAATGATAATAAATAAAACTCTCCATATACTTTATATTAAGGAGTAAAGAATACTTATAGAAGGTGTATCATAATAATAAGGACTAAAAGGAGTAATTAACTTTGAGAGCTTTCATAGAAAAATTGTCATAATTAGATACAAGCAATGACGATTAATTAACGCATGCTGATTGAGAAAAATGATAAGGTGGATTTAATTAATTAAGTAATGGCTTTTATGGAGGTGGTCTTAATCTTGAACATTCTTTGAATGATAACATGCGGAATAAAGAAGATTAGGTGTGTTCTTTCCCAAACAAAGATGAAGATTAGGAATCTTGAAAAGGTGGAGTAACTTAAGATGGCTAGGATTTTAATGAAAAAGATAAAGAGTTTAGGTGCCGGTGCCTAAATACTTAATTTATAGTGCCACTGTAAATTACCAAATTTCATATCTATAATGAATATACCTCATCCTCTTGCCCTTCTGGTGCCATCTTCACCGCAAATCACACAATTATACACTATTATGGTTGATAAAGAGCCCCACCAATTAGATTCCCAAAATACCACTAATTAATTAATAATAATTAATAGTAATAATTACTATAATTATTGAGCATACATTCTAGTATGTCTACAGTGGACTTGTATTTGTTGCAGACTAAGTGATCCCCTGTGAAATTATATACATTTTTTACAATTCCTTTCAATGTCTTTTAGCTGCTGGAGTGGTAACAATTTGAAGGTCAAAATTATTATCCACTTCTAACTTTTCAGATAAAAAATTATAATTGTATGATACAAAAAAAAAAAAAAAGAATCAGGCTAATATCAAATACATGTATAACTTCAACCATGATGTCAAACTTTAAAACTTAAATTGTTACTCTTAAAAACTATTTAATTTTTAATTTCAACTTCGTCAGTCAAGATAAAACAGATTGCAATTAAGTTGGTAATCCTTGACAGTAAATTATTATCTGTGTGCAAGTTATACTGATTACAGATAATTAGGTATTAAACTTGATTAATATTTTGAATATGCAAAAATCATGCCAGCACATCATTTCATTTCAAACTGAAAGACAAAAAAGAAAAGAGCAGGAATTGAAATTCTGCAGTACGATGGAAAACGAGACTCCCTCCTCTTCTACTAATAATCCTTTCGTTTTCCAGATATTTCAAACGTCTGAGTCTGTAAATGATATGATGAAGTGATGAAGAAAGGAACATAGAATTACCTAGGATTTGGACTATTCTTAATATATTTCTGTCCGTACTTCCTCCACTTGTATCCATCATCACCCATCCCATTCCCAAAGCACTTCATTTTCAGAGTATACTTATTCTCTATCTTGCTCAGTCCTCTCTCCAGTGTCGACACCCTAAAACACGAGACAACACACAAAATGCAATAAGCAATATACGTATATATAGTAGGATCAGAAAGTGCAGATATACACAGTATATTTAATTGGATAGCAACGGAGTTTTCTGAAAAACCTGGATAAGGAGAAGTCTTGGGAATTATAATGTTGTTTGCGGTTGGTAAAGGACAAGGCATTTTCGATATCAGAGATGGTAGGTCCTGAATAAATGTTAGAGATCAAGGAGTTAATGTTGGTGGAAGCTGATTTTCTTACGCAGGGTTCAATGGTGGAAGAAGGGAAAGGAGACTCATGATAGTTATTATAATGATGATCCAAAAGCTCTCTCAAGAGGTCATCTTCTTCTGACCCATCTGACCCATAATTAGCTGCCGTTACTGCTTCCTCCATCAATAGTGTCTCAAAGTTGGCTGAGAAGTCAACCATTTATCAGATCTCAGAAAAGCTGTGAGAACGAGATCTTTAGCTTTTATGGACGAGAGAGGATGATAAGAAGAAGAAGATGATGATCATGATGATAGGGCAGTCAGAGAAGGGAAGAGTGGAGCAGATGAGGGAGAGAGAAGTGTGACGCATACAAAGTCTGTGCCTGGCTTGACTTTTTAAAGAGAGAGCAGATAGATAGATAGCTAGGCTGTGACTCTTGTCTTTTGTCTGTATTATAGTTTGACTTTCACAAAGGAACAATACATTATGAAACGCGTCCTCGGAAAATAATATTGAAAAAAAATTGAAACTAGTCAAAGTGTGAGAATTTCATAGCTACGCTTTAAAGTTTTACTCGTAAGGTGTTGAGGTTAATATGAGAGATATATGCTCGCGGTTGAAGATTAGCTTTGGTCAGAGACAGCTAAGGAGGGTGAAAAAATGGTGACCCGTTATGGACTTATGGTTATGGGTTATGAGAGTTTTTGACATTTCATTTTCCGAGGTACAGGAAATCTCAAACATTTTTGTGCTGTCTCTGTTATTTTAATTTAAATGTAAATTTTGTCCTTTGTCATATGATGGGATAGGTGCATGAGGTGGACCAGACCAGACCCCCTTGACCTATAACCTTATTTCAATCAAAGCAATAGTCAACCTTAAAAAATTACTCGTCTTTTGGCATGTCACAATGTTCTAGAGTGTCTTTTCTTTTATTTGCTTTTTACTCTAGTGTGATTTGTTAATTAATCCTGATATTATTTTCTCCCCGCAGCAATATTTGGGTTGGTTGAGCATGCATTATTGGTTGCTATCGATGAAATGGTAGGTTACTTGCTAAAGCATATGATTCTCTCTTATTAAAAGTATTACTAGTCAATTGTTACTTTGCAAGGCATACAATATATATTAGTGATATTAGTTACCATTGAATAATATTTATATAAATTAACACAAGGTAATATTTATAGGTTTTTTTTATAATAAATAATAAGCTATATATTTCTACCCCGAGTAATGTTCAGTGTTAATGACTTTGTTAGTAATACATATTGTACTCACAATGTCCTGTTTGATACACATAGTATGAAATTCAATGAAATGAAGAACATTTTAACAGGTGAATATATATATATATATATATCTTTTATATTTTTAAACAAATATGGTCATGTTTAGGTAATAATAACCAAAACGGGAAAAACTTTAAGGGAGTAAAAGCCGTAGGACTTTAAATTTTTTCAAAATAAAAATAAAAATAAAAGCTATAGATGTTGTATGCCATGTGCAATTAAAAATTATAGAACTACACTATAATACAAGATATATTTAATAATTAATGGAGGCTGGAGAAGTCTATCTATATAACTTATTTATTCTGCTAGTTCAGCCCAACTAAGTTGTCAAAATGTCTAAAGTCTAAATTTAAATTTTTTTTATTGCTGGTATAAGCTATAAAAAATTTCCTGATAGAGAGTATGTTGATTTTTTTATATTAAAGAGTAAAGAAGAAAATGGAGCTAAAGAAAGAGACACGAGAGAATAAAAAGAAGAAGAAGAAGAAGCATGCCACGGAATTGACTGGAGTTAATTAGAACACTTTAACTGCATTATTATTTCGTTTTAGTACAAATTGCAGAGCAAGTGGAATGAGTAGGTGGTGATGGATCACAAAGTATAATTTAGAATGGTAAAAAAGACAATCAAGAGAAGATAATTCTAGAACACCGTGCTGTTGATTCTCTCAGAAGTCAGGAACCACATTTGGACATTATCAAGGTCTATACCTCGTTTATACTAATTAGTGCTATCAACTCCATACACGTGTCCTCTCCAAGTGGATTTGATCTCCTCAAGTTTCTAAAATATTTTTGTACCTTTTCATGAGCCAAATATTTAATTGGTTTGTATCTCGCATTATACAAAATATATGTCTTGTATTTGGGAAAATCAGTTAGCTTTTTGACAAAGTTTTCTAAAAAATGAATAAAAAAATCTATTCACGTGATTATAAATTTAAAAATTTTAATTACATATATAGCATTTAAGTTTTAAATGTAATTCTTAAATTATAATCAGAATTTCTATTTGTAACTAACTAAATTGATATTTTATGACTCATTTTCACAAAATTTAATTCAATATTTTAAGATTAAAATGTCATTTTCCCTTGATTTTGTTAGGTTAAATAGAAATAACTAGACTAAAAATAGGCATCTCTTGTTTCAATGACACTGAAGAAAGTGATATTGCCAAGATCCACTTAGTGTTTCAATGACATGAATCTTTCTCTTGATGCAAGAGAATATGGATTCTATTATTTGTAGGTCCAAAAAATGTGAAGATTTAGGTTAGGTTGGTTTTTGTGGGTTTTAGTGAGGTGTTATGTACTATGTGTTGGGTAGATGAGTGATATATGTGTGTAAAACCCCCTTTCTGTCTGTAATGAAGGATTCGGTAGTCAACGTATGAACATTGGTGTCATTAATTTCAAAATTTACCTTGACGTAAAGATTTATGTGAAACTTGGAAGATGAAACCGATGCATGCAGAAGTTAGGACAATGTCAGGAAGAGAGTGGACAAGATGGAGATGCAGAAACTTCTCTCTGATCACTGGTTCTTCACCGGATCGGATTGGGATCGGATTGCTTCAGAGTTAGGGAACCTCTTGTTCTTATTCGCCTTTGACTTCTCCAATCCAAACAAAACTTGCCAATGTGCCCACAAACAATCATTCACCTTCTTTACTCAATTTTACTAAACAAATGGAAACAAGGTGGCACTAGATATAGGACAAAGGCGTTGACTATCGGAGTTGGTTTAGCTCTGCTGCACGGCGTCGTTTAGCAAACGAAACATGTTGAAAGATGCCGAACGCGGAGCCTTTCTCTAAAGTCAATACCTTCTTTGTGGGACCCCATCACGTGCCCCTCATGCAACATGTTTCACCTGTCGCTTTCTTCTGTACATTGACTTTTGTTTTTCAGTCCACCATCATGCAGTTTTTTTTTTTCTTTTTACAAAAATATAACTTCATGACTTATGAATAGTGATAAGATTTGATAAAATATTACAAAAATATAATTATCAGTCCTTATACTCGTCATGTGTTGTTATTTTCCTTTATTTTTTCCATGTTTCATATTTTTTTAATTTTTTCTGTCTACAATATTAGTGTTCCTACTTTTAAATTAAATATGCCTATAGTGACAATGATATGGCATTAATAATAGTATTAAATTATCTGATGTGTAACTAATAACAACATTAATAAGAATGTTAACATGTTCAAAACACAAATGATTTGACAATTTGAATTAGTAATAGGTAAAAACAGGAACAATTGCTTCTTGGTGAAGACTCTTTAGGACTTCTAGCAATAACGCTTGTTAGCATCAAAAAGTAATTTATGATCACTGTGAGTTAAGCCTTTTACCTTATGCATCAAATGCCATAATTTAACAACATTTGTACTGCATTGTCATTCCTTTGGACATATTTAATTAAAAATAAAAAAACTAATGTTATACATGAAAAAAACTACAGGCACTTAAAACTTAAAAAAAACTATAAAAACTAATAATAAAATATAATAAAGTCACATGAAGGTTTTCAAAAATATATCTTACCTTAAGCCACATGCTTTATTTGTTTGAAATAATTTTTTTTAATGTTTATTTTAGTACGTGCTAAGTTAATATCTAACTTAACTTGTGAAGTGTGATTTACGTTTTAGGTCTATTATATTATTAAAATCATTTTAAAATTAATCACATCCTTTCAAACTAAAATTATATGCATGTAGGATTAAGAAACATTTATCAAAATCCCAATTCAGTCTTTTCTTTTATGATCTTTCAAGTTAACTGCCCTTGCAACGACCAAATCTGGAACATGATTCAACAAGTAGCGTGCCTTCACTTCAAACCCATTTTATTACAACATCTATCTATCTATCTCTCTCTCCATATATATATAGTAACCAAATCTCTCTCTCTCTCTCTATGTGGCATACTTTCACATCAGTCCACTATTTTACAGTAAGAACTACTGTAGTAACACGATCTAACATGATTCAACAAGTGTTGGTAACAAATACAAGAAGAAACTAGCTTGAAGAGCACGTCCTTCTACAAATTCTCTTCACCAACTGCATCTACAGGTGTTTCATCTCTCTCATTTCTGTTCACTGAAACAGGAAGTCATTCATTTAGATATTGCAGTAATCCGAACAATTTGTCCCCATTATACATTTAGACACCATATTTTGAGGTTTAAAGCGTGCTTTTTTTGGATTAGAAAGGCAGGACTCCCCTGTCTGGGGACACGATATACTGTATTTGTGTTCTATCATGCCAAAAAATCAAACTTTTTTAATCAGAGATGTATCAGAATATGAAATTATTTACCTTGATTCATTGGAGGGTTTGCTAGTGATGGTCTTACTTGAAATTGTTCCATGATACCAAGATGTGCAGAAAGAAGCCACACATGAGTGAGAAACTCTCCACCTTTTCTAAGTTGTTGTGCATGCTGATCTGCCTTACACTGTGTTGCTGCAGAGACAAGAATCTCCACCCACACAACTTTCAATAACTCCCACATCTCCTTCTTCTCCATTTCTATCACCAGCGATCTTGCAAGCCTACACGCTTCAACTATCACAGACTTTGACTCACTCCTTCTCACTGAATCAGGTCTCACACCTAGTAGCTTCTCACAAGCTTCCTGTACATTCTTTGATGGAAGTTCTATTTTCAACTGTCTAAGAACTTGTATGGTTTCTGCACACGTGTCACGAAAGCTTATCAGTCCTGTTCCTACAGGCAACATGTGTCTTTGCTTCACCAGAATATATAACATGTATTCTGAGATCATCTTGCTGATGCTCTTCTTGGGATCATCATCTTCATGGTCAGTAATACTATAATAATAGCATATGTCTGTGGCAACATGCCATGTGAGAATGCTTTGGTGAAACTCTAACATTTTCGTCCATTCTATTGACTTGAGACCTCTTGCTTCAATGGCGTCATTCACTCCATACTTGCTCACGTTTTGCCCTCCTGAGATTAGTTCTGATTTCTTGATCAAGTGGTTGAAAATATGATGATGCAGTTCCTTAGTGGGCTTGAGGATTCTTTTGTTTAGCAGCTCTTTTAGTTGGTTGAAATTCACAGAATCTTTGTTGTGTTGGAGGCTGAGAGTTAGAAAGTTGCACTGAGGGATTACATTAACCCACGTTCTCTTAGAACTTATCTCATAGAATCCATAAAGTTCATCCACATTACTGCTATGAGATGAATGGAGAACGTAAGGAAGATAGAACTGTTCGTTTGAATTCGTTACCACATCGCTTGACCATGCGTCGAGCAGTACTATTTCAACCAACAACGACCAAGTTAACATTATTTGATCCGAAGTTACCATGTGAGACTCTGCATTGATGATAAATCCAAAGCAGATCAGCACCCCAGTCTCGAGGAATAGAGTGATAGCCACCAAGTTAATGAACAAGTCCCTGTGAAAAACTGAAGCCTTGGTGTAGAAAAAATTGTAGGCATATCCAAGTTGAACCGCGACCATCCCAAAGGCATGTTCAGGTTTCAATTCTCGAAAATATGATTGGTGTTTCTGAAGATAATCATAGCTCAAGACAAGATCCTTAAAGAGACTCACGAATAAATGCATGAAGTTATCTAGCAGATCCTGGGGAGTTCTAATAATATCCAAAGCAGCTTTTGATTCATGATCGTCAAGAGAAACCAAATGATTCGAATCATTGGTGGACTCTTCAATAATGAATTTCTTCCCATGGATGGTAGGATCTAAAGGAGGAATCATCTTGTCACGGCGATAATCAATACTTGCAGAATATAAAGCCCATGTTCGTTCCCCATATTTGATGAATCCATTAACAAGCATGGCGATGCTGAGATACGAGAGCCCAGTATTTCTCCAAGCCAAAAGAACAATGTAAAGGACTCTGATTGATTGTATTAACCACAGAGCCAAGCTTCTACGCCACAGAGCATTGTCCTCAAGTGCATAAGCTGTGATGGAAGCTGGACCACCAAGATGAACTAAGAACAAGGTTGCCCAGAATGCTAAGAGCACAGAATCATCATCTTGTTCACTATTCGATTGATGAATAGGGTCTCCAATCTTACTAGAGATAACACCAAGTCCAAAGTTTGCGACCCAATCTGAGAGCAAGTAGGCTCCCCAAACAAGCGTGTCGGTGAGTTTAGAAACAGTGTGTTTTCTGCGATTTCCCATGAGGCCGATTATAATCTGACAGAGAAAGCTCAATAGGATTGATCCTCGTACGTTCCACTTGTCCCATGCCTTACGCACAGGGCTTGGAATTACTTCAAAAAGCCTCCTATGGCTATGATCGGTGGATACCCATATGCCTGAAACTAATACACACACACACACACACATATGGCACTGTGATTAGTCTTGACCAGAAGCAAAGGGAATAAGAACATGTATACTTTTTGAAGATTGAAGGAGGTGGTTGGTCATGAACTTACTTGGAGCTAACATGGATGCCATAGCGCCTTCTTCAGAGGCTAATATATGATTACTGGGATTTCTAATCACTTCACCTTAAAGTAGAACGTTAACAGCGCAAAAACTAAACTGATATAACCCTTGTACCAACAGATATTGAAGAGATTAAAGACATAAATAGTGATTTCGATTGCAGCTTGCAACGAAGAATGAATAGGGGCTTAAATTCTGGAGTTTGCGAGTGCCTATGGATCAATATTCAAGTGGATCATCACTTGAACTTCTTAGAAACTTAACCTCTAAAAGTGTTTGCTTCAGAGTAATGGAGGAACATTATCCATTGTCCCATTCGCAGTCAACGTTTTGACCCAAACCAAAAACTAATGCACTAAAAAATTATTGTTTTTTTAGGGATAAATGGTCATTTTTGTTCTTAAAATATTTTTTAAATAACACCCAACATCCTAACATTTTTGTAAAAGTAATTTTGCTCTTAAATTTATCAAAATGGAGCATTTTTGCTTATTTAACTGATAGGGTAAAAATGTTCTATTTTGATAACGTTAAAAACAAAATTACTTCAACAACAAAATTAAGATATTGGGTGATTTTTAAAAAATATTTTTAAGATGCGCATTTTATATGAAAAACGTAAGTGGTTGTGCGTCAATCGTCATGGACTCACAAGTCTCAACGCGGAAAATGCGTGGAAATAAGTGTTTTCTTTTCCGATTATTCTAAGTATATTTTCCTTCCACTATTCTTTTCGATCCAATCGGGTTGAAATAAAATTTAATTCCAAAGCGATGTTCAAACAATTTTTTTTTTTAAAAGCAAGACCCGAGAAAGAATAATGCTCAACACTTATCTGGCATTACCTATTAAGCAAGTGGGGCAAGGTCCAATTAAAGGAAGTTAATTTTTACTTATTAAAAAAATTATTTTTTTCTTTTTTTAAACAACGCAAAATACAATAACTATAACAGTGTGTTTGTGTGTGTGTGTGTTATATATCCATATAATATACAGTCTTTAAATTTGAATTCATAATTTGGTCAAAAAAAATTTTGAATTCATATTCATTTGAAATAGGTAAAACAAAAATAGGTTCACGATTCTTACACGGAATTTGAGCAGTGATTCTATAATAATTTTCATAATAATACTGGATTCTATATTATGAGGATTTTTTTAAGGCTTAAGTTTAAACCTACTTAAAGCTTGATCTAGTTTAAAAGCTTATTTAAAAGCTTACTTAAAAATAAATCTTTTAAGTAAGCTTGCATTTTAGTTTTAAACATATCAAGTATACTTCAAAATTATTAGTATATAATATATAATTTAATTTAGTAATTACAATATATAATAATTAAAAAGACTTACCAACTATAATACAATATAATAAAGCAATAATATTAAAATTAATATATAAGTCCAATCTTATTGAAAACATAACTAAAAATAAAAAAGAATATATTAATTAAAAAATCAAAGGATAAATTGATATGTGTGTGATATATTACATAATATGTGTGTATAAATAAGTCGACCTGTTGGGCTTGTAAATTAAGCCTTAAAAAAATAGGCCGACTTGTTGAGCTTGTGGGCCAAGTTTTGAAAAAATATGCTTGACCTATTTAATTAAATGAGCTTAATTAAAGGTCTAAGTCTGCCCTGAACCTATTTAGTAAATGGGCTAAATTAGACTTAAAGTTTAGAAGAATTATGTGTTATCATTTTTCCTAATTAGTTATCAATAAACTTATAGTAATTGATTATGTTATGTGTGACCTTAAAGTAATTCTCCCCTTGTTATCTTTTTAAATTCTTTTTATCACAATATTTATAATATACTATCCATATAATGTAAATTTTTTGAAAAAAAAATAAAGGAGATTTGGGACACACACATATATTAAATCTATAATTTATACTAATATTGGATTCCATTTTATTGTAAGACATTGATTTTATGGTGACATCCAATTTTGTGTTATTATTAGAAGATATCGATAATATATTATATTCATATAATAGTAATATACTAGATTTAAATTTTTTCTTACCCAAAATACTATATAATGTTGAATGCTTTACCTTTAGAGAAAATGAGGTTTTTCAGGTGAAAAATTAATTTGATAATTCTATCGTGACATCATATTTTATTATATTATAAGATATTCGCGTGATACAACAAACTTTAAATTTATTTTCATTTAAATTCAACTTGATCTTTATTTTATCCCAAACAATGATCCCCTAAACGACAAAAGAAGCCCATGCCGGGCCTTATTCACATGGGTCCCACCGATAGAATCTTATCTTCGTCGCAGTGGAGCGTACCTGTGCTATAATTACACCATACCGTGTAACTTAAATAACAGTCGCAATATCGACCGTCCATTTTATCTCATCAGCTTCTAAGTTCTGACAGCCCTGTAGATTTGCCGTGACGAAACGGCAACGTCGGTCAACTTCTAAAAAAGGTAACCTTCCCGCGCAAACACCGACTCTTCAACGCGCCGCCTAATTTGAATGACAATGTTTATAACGCGGCCGAACGTGGACGTGGGGCCCATGTATTAATCCACGTCGGCGTAGGAACCACTACTTGATCGACACGTGGAGAGCACCACCGTCATTGCCTGGCTGTCACCAACCAACACCGCATGATTGAAAAGATTTCTCGGTACACCAATCCCACACGATCCCCCTCACTCACCTCCCACTCACCCTCCCACCAATTTTTTGAAATTTCAAAATTTTCAAATTAAAATTCGAATTTCTTTCTCCTCCTCCGTCCCGTCTCTGTGTGAATAGATATATATATATATATACACACACACACCCCACCGGTCTGCCGAATTCCCATTCCTTGAAAGTTTGTAGCGTCCTCGATCTTCATCGGAAATTGTGATTGCGAAATTCTTTCGTCTTTCTTTCCAACTTTCTCCCTTGATTTTGTTGAGATTCAAAGGTTACCTACCTACCTACCCAGCAAGCTAGCAAATATAGCATCAATGGCGGCTGTGGATAAATCAGGAATGAGGGAGTGGGAGGAGGAGTGCAAGACTCCAAGGAATATCGAGAATAGGATTCCGGCAATGCTTATTTGCCCCCCGCCGCCGAGGAAGAAGCCTATCGGTGACGGAAAGAGGCGAGACCCGCCGAAGGGCGGGTATTTTAATCCTCCTGATCTTGATTCCTTCTTTGATATTCCACCAAGGAAAGAAGCATTTGCATAGGAAGACGGTGAACGGATTTGGTTATATTTTTCATTTTAGGAGTGAAGAGGAAGAAACAGCTGTATATATATAGATGATTCTGCATAGTTTTGCTAGGGGACATTCCTTTTTTTCTGGTCATGTTTTAGGGTTTTTATTTTAGCTACTGCTGATGGATTGCGATGATTTGTTTAACAAATTCTTTTACGGAATCATGGCCTTTGAGTTCTCTGTTCTTCTCTGGATTTTGTTATGCTTTGCTAATTCGTTCATGGCTTCTCGCAATCGCAACCATATTGCGCGGTAACCATTTGTCTTTTGTTCCTCTCTGAATCCTCTGGCATGCGTTAGGATGCATTAGATTAGATAGTTTTAGATGATATTGGCTTGTGATATGCTTAGATATCAATAGCAATAGATGCTGAAGCAAAATGATCATCGTGGAGTTTTGCTTAGATAAGCAAGACAATGCAGATGCTGAAGCAAAATGATCATCGTGGAGTTTTGCATGGAAACTGACAAGCAATTCGAGCGGGTCTTTAGCTGGTTCGAGTTGATTACAAGATTAGCTAAGTAATTAATAATTAATTAAGCTGTTAAAGTCTGATAGGTTGACCCAAGTCGTTTTATCTTTCAACATTTTGTGTGTGTGTGTGTGTATGTATATATGTATATTTTGGTGAAAACATTTTGACTGGTAATTTGTTTCGCCATCTCATTCTTATTACGTCTGACTTACTTATCGCTAATCTTTTTCTTATAATTAGCTATTATAAGTGAGATGGGTTTGTTGAAAGCAAAATTAGAGTGAGCTCTGGATTTTCATGGAGTTCTAGATGTTCCCATATTTTTGGTACTGAAGGTTATTTGAGCTTCAAATTCTATTTTTGGTGAGGTGTTAAAAAAAAATCTCATAATTAAGCTGGAGTTTCTTATTTTATTCTGTTGCAAAAGTTAAATACAGACACTATTCCTAATCATGTTTGGTCAATGGCACACAGCATTCAAGGGAACATGACGATAGTTAATGTTAGGGAGCAGCCCCTGCAGTACAAAATTAAAGGTGAAAAGAGAGAATTTTATGGAAGAAGGTGAAGTACAATTCTCAATATGTAGACATATTGTTTTTTTTTTTTGTTTTTCAAGGAAAAAGGTTGATCGACAAAGTAAAAACTTTCTCAAAAATTATATTTTTCCAACGATCTAAATTCTGCTTCAATGTTTCAAGAATTTTTTTAAAGAGGATAAAAGCAGTTAGGTCAACAGTCAACACACACACAAAACATTCTTTCCACATTTTTTTTTTAAAATTGATGTATTTTTTTTTAAAAAAATTACGTGGAGGCCTTCGACCCCAAGCTCATTTTTAGAAAACCTAACAAAAGTGGTTTTAGAAGCCTGACTACGTTAAAAATCTTTAATTTTTCAAACTCAAATCCTTATAAATATATGTTTAAATGGGTGACCTGCGTTCGTGGCTTTAGCTTATACTTGTTGAGGGAAATAAAACTTTTAAGGGAGAATAACATTCAATAACACTGAAATCCTGAGTCTTCAAGATTTAAATAAGTTTTCTTATGTAATAATCTAAATGCCGTGTAAGAGCTAAACCAAGACATCAGTTTGCTCGCTTTTTAAAGTCACTGTCTTTTTGTTCCAGTTCTTTAACGTTTCTGCAAAAACGATGAACTAGAAAGAGATCAACTTGCGCTTGTAAAGTAAGTCTACTTGATTGAAGTCGACTTCATTGATACCACCTAGAAGAGCTTACGGGTTCTTTTTTACTAATTTTAAAGTCAAGGGTAATCTGATAATTGTATATCAAAAATTATTTACATGAAGGGACCCTAAAGCTATTTTGGTAAAACCACAGTCAAGGACTCTTGGAAAAACAAATTTACAGTTGAGGATCAGTTAATTCTAAATTTATATTGCAGTTTTGGAGGTTCTAATTGTAATTAATTTTGACTGAGAAAAGATGAAAATACTCCTCTAATAGAAAGGAAATGAAGCGTGGAACTCATCATTTGAAAAAAAACAACATCATTCCATTTTAACAAAAAATAATTTAGAATTCCTAACTTAAAAAAATTTTCACATGTTTAAAGCTCGTGAATAACTTATCATTCAACAAAAAGAAAACTCCTCATTTCATTTCAACAAAAAATAATTTCATGCCAAAGTTATTGATTTAAAAAAAATATCTAAGTGTTCAGAGTTGGTTAACAACTCACCATTCAAAAAAAAAAAAAAAACTCCACATTCTATTTTAACAAGAAATAATTTTATGTGCTAGAATTCTTAACTTGAGAAAATTTTCAACTGTTGAAAGTTGATGACTCACCATTCGACAAAAAACATCTACCCATTCCATTTTAACAAGAAATAATTTTATGTGCCAAAATTTTTAATTTAAGAAAATGTCTAGGTGTTCAAAGCTGGTGGATAACTCATTATTTAAAAAAAAAACTATTACATAAATAACAAGTCTACATTCACTGATATATAACTAGCACTAATGCAGACAGAGTCATCACACTTTAGAATGTCATACAATATCCATTCTAGTGAATGACTTCTATTACATTGATAATAAGTTAATATGAGTATATAGACAACATTAATTTCGCCTAATTTTATAATAGTACTTCTTATGGTAGAAACAAGTACCCTCATGAAATTTTTTATCCATTTATATCATATTGTTGCACAGACATATACAAAAGACAATAACCCATTTCAAAAAAAAAACTATAATAGGTTATTTGTGTATAAAAACTGCACCCTTAGCCACATACTTTGCAATGACTTTGTCCCTATGATTCTTTCAGAATTTGTATGCAAACTTTTTAGCAAGGCTATATTTGTGTAATACTTGTCTAAAAGTTGTTGTATTAGCGAATATCTATCCTATACCAATAAGCAAATCTTTTCATTTTGTTGCATTTTTCTCTAGTATTGGAGTTGTAATACTTTCCACAACTAAACTTTGCTCAACAAAGGATGTTGCCAAGGTTTGAAATGGAGATGGTAAGCTTACCCATTTAGTTTCACTAGTGGAGGGTGCTTTAATAATTCCTTGGATATTATCTATGATGTATTCAAACAATTAAGACTAAATATTAAATGTCAAGAGACTTAAAGCAATGAAATTGATTTTTAAAATTGACTTTTATTATTGACTCTTGAGGATAGTCATTTAGTGATGACTGTGTAATGTCATTTTTCCTTACACCAACATAAACATGACCATTGTTGCCATTGAACTTAATAAGTTGTGTAACTCCAGCATCATCTATAAGGTCTATCATTATGGTTGTGAAAGTTTCAATATTGAATGTTAACTTTAGGTCCATCTCTTTAATTTTAGGACACACTTCAAGCAATATCAATCTTCTAAATTCATCATATGTCATACACTCTGTTATTATTTTAGCAATTACATTCCCTCCATCATATTTGACATTATCTTCACTTGTCCTCTCATAAACTCCCTTATAATGGATGAAACAAAATAATTTTTGTCCTACTATTGCTTGACATCTATCACATTACCTTGCAACCATTTCAAACAAATTTTACTCTAGTTTGAGTTTATAATTGCAGTTCTAATATCAATAATATATTATTACTATTTTGACAACATAAAGTTCAATAGTTCTAGATTTTTAACTAAATTTTACTCTATTTTCTAATATAACTACAATTCCAATATCAACCATATATCATCATTATTTATCAAAAAAATAGTTCATTACTTCTAGACTTTCCTTCTTAAGCTATCACAACATATTGAAAAGAAAAATATAATTAAATCATAAAATAACACCTACACTCTCCATTTTAACAATAATATATTATTGTATTTATAACACAACATTCCACATTAAAACAGAATGCTATTGTAATTGCCAAGATAGACCCACGTTAAATGAGACATATTAATGCTACCGAACACCATTATTATGCATCTACTATGGATAACTATATATGCTAAACCCCTAACTACCTTGTTCCCACATTAAACGTGTTTCTTCGATGGCATAAAAGTATGTAATGCAATCAAGAATATTAAAGCTAATATCAGTTAGGGTTAGATCATTTACCTTGATAACACTGTAAATTTTAGATTCAGCCGTCTATTTCTTAAAATAACTCGATAATAAGCCTATGATACCCCAAAAACAGAACCAAATACAAGTTAGTTGAAAGAAAGAATGCAAAATCAGTTCATTAAGGAAGACAGAGATGGAGGAAGGAATCTACAATTTTTAGCTTACAAGCTTGCTCTAATTGAACCTATGAATGTTTTCATGCGAATAACAGCTTATTCTCCTAAGTGTTATGCTTTATTTCATTTCCATTAGAGGGGCATTTTTGTATTTTTCTAGTCAAAATTAATTATAGTTAGGACCTCCGAGACTGCAGTGTAAATTTAGAATTAATTGGTCTTGAGCTATAAATATGTTTCTTTAGGGGTCCTTGGTTGTGATTTTCCCAACTATTTTATCATTTCATGGGACTTAGGAGTTATTAAAGTTCATCTGTGGGACTTAGTAATAATTCTCCTAATCTACTCTTTCTGTTAAAAAAATATAAGATATTGTTTAAGGAGTTGAATATTAAAAAATATAAGGTATTTTTAATTTTTTAAGATGTAACCATTATCTTTATTTTTTAAAGTGCCCTTTATTGAATAGATCGCTTTATATTTTTTTAGAGTAAAACACCCTATTAGATAAGAATAAATATAAAAAGATAGAGTTAATTTAAAGACAAGTAACTACTTTATTTAAAGTTAGATTTGGTTAAAAATGTATTAAGGAGTATAAGTTACAAAAACAAAATTTATAACAAAAACATTGTGAATAACATTCAAAATTCATTTAAAATGTTCATTTATTATATATAATTCACGTGGTTTATACTTGTTGAAGAAGAAAAAATTTACAACATATTGTTCATAAATAACAATTAAATTTATTTATTTTCAACAAAAGATTCATTTATTTTACAAAGGAAAAATTTTATCTTTTCATCAAAAAGCTTAATTGCAAGAGAGTAGTTTATACTTACAAAACTATTTCAAATTTTATTAGACACTTAATGCAAATATATTTGTTCTTGTAGCCTTTAGTGTAATTTTCCCTTTAAATTATGTCATTCAATCATGAAAGTACCTTGTTGGTCAAAAAAAAAATCATGAAAGTACTTTCATGATTATCTTAAAT